GGGACTCAGGATAAGTCCCTTTTAGAGCATAAAATGTACTCCTGCCAGGCTCTGCTGACTTCCTCAAAGGTCAAAGGCAGGTGCAACTGATCAGCTACAGCCCCACATTGTCTTCTGCCCCACATGCAACAAACATTGATGTAACCATTGGGCAACATGCAACATCAGAGGCTGGCTTTCCTTCTAGCCAATGCACCTGGGCCAATTCATCTGTTTCATCATTTCCTGAGGATGCCAATGGCAAATGGCCTGTCACATGATATACTGTAACTGTTTTAGTCTGATCAGAGGCCCATAAGTCTTGCCACAACTCTTGCTCCCAAAGGGGTTAGTGACCAACCAATCAGTTGGCATGGTACCATGTCAGTAGCCACCGAGTGAAGCCTCAGTAGACAGCCCAGCTATCAGTGCAGACAGCAAGTGGGGAGGGCTCCTGGGTGGTCATAAGCCATATTGCCCACAACTCTGCCCATTGGCTGCTCTTCCCCAGCCCATTCTCCATCCATATTGTCTCTGTCTTAGGACGGAAAGCTAAGGCCCTCCATTTTGGAGGCTGCCCTTGGCTAGAGCCATCTGTGTACCATGCATCTTCAGGTACAGGGGTTCTTCCCTCCCAACAAGGGCTCTCTGCTACTGATGGCTCTAAAGCAAATTCTTCCTGCCTTTCACTGATATATGTCACTGGGCCCAATAAGCAGTGGAATTCTTCATTCAAGGGGATACCAGAGAGGGTGCTACGCTGCTGTTGGTATGTGCCCCACTAGGCCATGCGTCTGTGCCATGCTAGGCTTTTGGGTCCAGTCGTGTACCCACGGAGTGATGGGGTAGGTGGTTATTACGTTTACTTGGCTCATTTTGGCGACGGTTTCTGTAGCCAGCAAGGAGTGTACACAGGAGCCGTTTGTTACTCTGTTAAGGTGTGTCGTACCTCTGCTCCTTACCAGAGTTGTGACCAGAATCCAATAGGTTGGCAAGTTCATTCAAGCTGCTACCAGAGACCCCAGCCATAACTGTCTTTGGTCACATGGACATCCAGCTCACAGGGCCTTGATGGGTCTATCACACTCAAGGCCTGCAAGGCTTTGACTGCCTGTTTTGCAGCTGTAAATGCAGACACACACGTCTCATCCCAGTCCTACCTGACACCCTTTCATACCAAATGGTATAGGGGCTTCAGAATTTGTACCAAGTGTGTGATAAACACCCTCCAGTAGCCTTAAAGACCCCAAACTCTTATAATAATGCCACAGTTTTAGGGATAGGAAAGGCCTGGACTGTATCAATGACTGCTTCTGGGATAACTTTAGTTTTATCCAACCAGACAACTCCCAGGAATTTGACTGACAAACCAGATCCCTGAACCTTGATGCTGCTCACAGCCCATCCTTTCCCCTATAGATGTTGCAGCAGTCTAGGAGCTGCACCTTCTAGATCTGAAAGAGAATCAGACATGAGCATGATATCATCAATATAATGGTACAGCCACACCATTGGCAGTTTCTCCCATGTAGCCAAGTCCTGGGCTACAAGTCCATGACAGATGGTGGGGCTGTGGAGGTGTCCCTGTGGAAGGACAGTGAAAGTCCATTGCCATCCCTCCCAATTGAAAGCAAACTGTTCCAGACTTTGCTGTTCTATGTCAATGGAAAAGAAGGCATTAGCAAGATCTACAACATAATGGAATGTCCCTGGTTCATGGCTGAGGGTGTCTATAAGGCCTGTAATAGAGGGGACAGCAGCATGCAGAAGGGGGATGACTTTATTCAGTTCTGTGTAATCCACAGTCATATGCCAGGAGCTGTCTGGCTTTTTTACTGGCCACACTGGGGAATTGGAAGGGCTATGGGTGGGCTTTATAATATGAAGGGGTACATTCTTCCCCTTCATGGCCTTTATCTCTTCCACGAGGCCGCACAGTGACTCCATCGCATTCTCCAACAAATGTTTCACTTCCTCCACAGCACCTTGCAGCCTGCGTTCTTGTGCTGTTTCTTCTTGTGTCGCCATTATGTCCTTTACCATCTCCATAACACCTCGCAGCGATGCCATCTCAATCATTAATGAACTTTTTTCTTTGTGACCTTTACCTCTTCTTGTGCTTCTTGCAGGAGTGTGTTCTTCTTTGTGGCCCTTGTTAACACTGTGAGGAACAGCCGACCCACAGTTCCTGCCACCTTGAGGGCACTCTGTTTCTTTAAGGAAGTCCCTGTTTTGCAGAGGGCTTCTTCTACTGTCTCAGGTGTCACCTTCACCTCCTGCCAGTCCTGGTGAGGGGTTCAGTCCTCTAGGAGACAAGCAACCTTGGACCACATTCATATCAGAAGTACCCGAGTGTCTCCCCATCCACAGGGGCTGCCCGCTGAAGTACCCCTCCCATGAAGGCAGCTTATTCCATTCTTTCTGGTTTGCGGTGAATCCTGTTGATCACACCAATTGTCCCTCCTGTAGTCCCTGGGCGAGTTCCCTCTGGGTTCAGGGAGACCAAATAAGAACAATGAGACAAGCTTTACTTTCAGGGTGGCAGGTCGAGTGCTGGAATCACGTCTGCCTCTGGGGCAGCCTGCATGCAGCAAGCCCATCTCCATTTCTGCCTCTGGGGACAGCACTGGGGCAAGCTCTTTATATAGTAACACCGAAAATAATGTCTCATTGCCGATGGGTGTGCAGACATTAGCCCAGCAGCAGGCCAATTACATCATCAAGTACTTTAGGGTCAGGTGAGGATCCTGGCCAGAGGAACTTTTATTTTCTCTACAGTCCCACTCTATGAGTTTAGAACAGGGATTTGTCAGAACTTGACTCATTATGCTATCTTGACAGAGATACAGTTCTCAGCTTTTAACAGAAAATCTTGGGGGTTCTGGAAGGGCATTTAGGGAGGATCAGTGGAGACCTTTGCAACTCCTTTCCCATACCTCTCTTCAAAATCCTGTGAAGAAAGGAAGGAAAGATTGTGGGCAGCACGGTCCAGTCGTATCTTTTGTCATCTAATTCTCAACCTAAGGAAAAAAACATGCACACTCTTCTTCAGCTGCTGTGTGAACTTGATACCAGAACTTTGATTTAACAGTGTACCTCGCCTACCTACTTTTAGACAAATCATACTGTTCAGTTATTTTATTTGGCAGACAGGGAAATCATTCTCTCAGTGAAGTAATGAATAATAAAGTTTTTCCTCAAATATGCAAGAAGTTACCAAAATTCACTGAGACTAATTTAAGATTTTTGGTTTTTTCCAGTTTTATTGAGACCTACTTGACATACAGTACTGTATAAGTTTAAGATGTACAGCATAATGATTTGCCTTACATATATTTTAATTGTCATTGAAATGATTATCATAATGGATTATTATGTTTCTTAATATATATACCTGAAGTTAATAACTAGAGACTTTTTTTGTCTTTCTCCATAAATATTAGTTATAGATTATGGGTATTTTATATACATATTATATCAATAAATTACATTTTTTTGGTTTAGTTTTAATACTACATTTCTAGAACTCTATAAATTTTAGTTCTTTTTTGTTGCAATGTAGTGTATATTGCCTCTTGGAATGTAGAAATCACCTAAAATGTGAATTGAAAAAGGTAGTGAAAAATGCCTATACACATATTAAAGATTAAAACAGTGGCTGAGTCCAGTGAAAGGAAGTGATCTTATGAATTAGTAATGAAGGTGCATTTACAGGTTATTGTCTTACTGGGGTCTGAGTTTTAACAGCTGCTGGTAGTTTAAACTAATAGAAGTCTGAATAGCCCATAATAATCTGAGTATTCATTCTGTTTATGGATTGTTTCTTAATAGAAACAGTGAATAGTATTGCCTATCTTAAATTACCTCAAAGGATGGTTGTAAAAGTAAAATAAGATAAGGTAAGTAAATGTTTTTAAGCATGAAAGGTGCTCTGACTCTCTCTCTCAGTGTTACATAAAATTATAAAATTATGTATTAATTTTACGGAGTAGTAGTTTTAGGAGTTTGAAACTTTATTTAGATCTCATGCATACAATTTGTGACAATTTTTAAAATATTCAACTGAAAAAGTTAAATTTGTGTTATAAACATATGGTATTGTGAGTAAGAGTATTTAAGTTTAATAGGGGGCCAAGTATTTTAGGAGCAGATGTTATCATATAAACAGTAAATGCTTTAATTATATGTCATTTTTATGTATTATTTAATCAAGTACAAGGTCGTTTGCTGGTTATATACTAGGGACACTTTGTTCATTAACTTGTTTTCACTCTATGTGCTTAAAGACAAACTATGTTCCTAAGACTATCCTAAAACTTAAATATTCTTTGACCTTTTTCCAATTAGCTACAAGGAGGGGATTTTCATATAATCATAGCTCTTATTAGTTTTTAGACTAATCCAATTAAAGAATACAAAGGACACCAATCATATTTTGTTTCTAAGCAACGTAACTATATTTTGGGTAACAGCTTTTAAATATATGTCTGAAACACCACATTAAATGTAGCCATGTTACTTTACTCATTTAAAAAAATTATCTTAATAATCACACATTGATTTTTTTCCCTTTAGTTATTGAAAATGGGAAAATGTGAGACAAATGGAATTTGAGTGCCTCTCATTTATTTTGCACTGTACTAGATATTTTGGTGAGATAAAACAAATTTCCAAAACCCTGTCCTTGAAGATCTTAACAATATTAAAAGTAGAAAAAAAGTAATTTAAAAAATCATCAAAAACCAATACAAGCGATGTAAAGAAATTCCAAATTAGAATGTGATAAAATTAATGTTGTATTAGGAAAAGAGTGAAAGTTTTCAATATAATGTGTCTGAAAGAAGTATGCTTGCATTTTAAAATGTTGGAAGAAATCGGATTTGATTACAAACTTTTTACTAGGGTTTTGAACCAAGCCCATCTCAGCCTTAGGTTTGCTGACCTGCTGTTCCACTAAGGAATCACCATCAGCCTTGCGGGGTACAGTGTGTGAGTAATACATGCATTGTCTTCGTTTCCAGGCATACTTCCGACAGGGTGTTGCCCTGCAGTACCTCGGGCGTCATGCCGATGCTCTGGCAGCCTTTGCATCTGGACTGGCTCAGGACCCCAAGAGTCTCCAGCTTCTGGTGGGGATGGTAGAGGCTGCCATGAAATCTCCCATGAGAGGTAAATATGATAAGTGTCTTTGGTCTGACACTAATTTAAAGTAGGGCATTTCTAGCCTTTGAAGACTTTAGACTCAGGCATTGAGAATTGATAGGTTATTGCTGAGATTGGATATTTTAGACAAAAGGAAGCTCAAATATCACTGTCAATAGCTGATGTTAATGAGGTGGAATAGAATGATGGTAAGACCACTGGCCTGGAAGTTTGGGGACCTACATTATATTTTTGAATTTTTTATTAACAAACTCTGTGACTATGAGTCAATGAATTAACTTCTCTGGATTTTAGGGTTATCGAAAGAATCCTTATGTGTTTTGTAGTTCTAAGATTCTGTACTTTTAAACCCCAACATCTTTAGTAGTAAGTTGATTTGTTCAGTTGGACCATTATACCGTCTAAAAATAATCAAATTAGAGAAGATTTTAGGCATACTGATATTTCATGTAAGGAGATATGGATCTAACTGTGGGCTGTGTCTAACATGTTTTTAGAGGAACATTGAAAGATGATGTTGAATTAAAAGGAATGAGAAACAGACAGACACTAGTTTACGTGGTTTCCTCCTGTTATTATTTCTACTTTATACCAGTTGGTATCCTGGAAACACAGTGGGCTGACAATAGCTGTGGAGGTGGGAGAGGCCTAAGGCCCCAAACAGATCGGCTTCACTTTGAGGGACATTGATTTTTGAGGACTGAGCTCTTAGGAAGAAGATTGGGCTGAGGGCGCACACCAGTTGTCATCCCGGCAGTGATGGAGACTCCAGGGCAGATGGATGGCAAATAGTAGACAGCTTATAATGTTCCGTATTGATTAAGTTATGTCAGATGGAACTGTATTTTTGTTTCTGTAATGGTATGGTTTTGAATGAATCTAAAAGTTTTGATGGAAGTATCCTTAGACATTTTATCTAGTTTTGAAATATTTACAGCATTAAATAGTTTTAATATAGTGGCTAGTATGATACGTGGTTCAAAATACACGCTAAGTAGAAGTTTGATGAACTAATGGTGCTCAGATGGTCTCTCAGCAATTCATAGCTATAAAAAATATTTTCCTGCAAGTCGAAGATTCCATGTTTTAGAAAAAAAAGAAGTGGTAAGAACCGTCTCTTCGTGCAATTTTATAACCCCATACAAAGCTGAGTCTTTGCTGCAGGAACCTAACGGCTTCTCCCACTGGGGGACCTGCTGTTAATAAACTCTGACTGAGAGCAGATGCGCTTTGGAGCTCCGGGGCCTGGGGGAGGGGGCAATGGACAACCAAAAAATCAATCTGCCTCTCCTTTCCGTTTTTCTACTGTTTTCTCATTCTCTCCCTCTATCCCACTGCAGATAATTTACATGGGACATTTTTTATTGAGCTCGTGAAGATGGCGCATCTTTATTCTGAGGTGTCTGCACCGCTGCCTTAGAATATTGCCGTGAATGTGTTGAGATCAGCAGAATCATACTTACCACTTTGCTTTTGAAGCAGTTTGTGTAGATAAATGTAAGGAAATCTTTCCTGCACTGCAAGAAACAGCTCAGTATTGCTGTTACCATTGGGTTTTCTGTGCCATGTTTTATCCTATCCTTTTTTTTTTTAACCCCAAGGTTGTGGTTTTATTACCCTATAGGATATTAACAAATTTAGTATCTAATTTAATAACCCCATTCTATTGTTTTTTTTAAATTGAAGTATCATTGATATACAATCTTATATTACTGTAAGTATACAACACAGTGGTTAAGCAGTTCTTCCCTATCTTATACTGAGTGATTTAAGGCGAATCCTGGAGAAAGCTGTATCTTACAGGTGCCTGGGAGTGCTTCAGTATTTTCATCTCTTTCCTTAAGGCAGTTTATCTCGTTTATTTTTAGCATTGCCTTTACCACTGTTATCTATGTCAGGTGAGCTTTTCTTAATCAAACTTTTATACAGAGACTGTTGCTTTGCTCAGTGTTCCGTGCATCATGTCACCTCTTAATGACCTCTCTTTTTGTCATGTTGTAATTCGCAAAATCTGTCATCATTTGCTATCCATTTTTTATCCACTTTCTTTTAGCCTCCTGCAGTTTTCTAAGTTTCTGCCCGTTAAGTAGCTGTGCAGTCTGGGTCACTTTACATATGGGTCTGATCTGATATGTTTTGCTTTCTAATCCTTGAGTGCAACAGAGACAGCGCCCTAGGCCAGGTGCTTCTATAAGCAAAGCTCTCGTGATGTGCCTAGCATTCCTCCAGTTTGGTTTTTTGGGGAAGTTTCAGTATTTCATTTTTTTAAAAAGTAGGGCCAAAAAAAAAAAAAAAAAAAAGTAGGGCCAATCTATGTTAATATACATACCCTTGTTCCCAAATAAATACATTGTATTTATCTATATTAAAAGTCACTTGATTTTTTTTTTTAATATTGTTGTTGCCTGCATTGCTAACTAAATCAAGTCTGTTTTACTTTATTTTTATGACTTCACTTAGGCTTGCCAGACAGATTATCAGTTAAACTACTTCTGAGGATATATTTCCATCTTATATATAATGTATTTCTCTTAAATCATTAATGAAAATATAAAAACAAGTATAAATGTAAAATGGTACTGTCCTTTTTGTGACCCAGGTTATCCTTTTACTGTTTTCCTGTTTCTCCTTTCTCTGTCTTTCAGCAGTTTCAGTCCATTGTATCTTACAAAAGTTTATGCAGATTTGGATGGTGCAGCATATAGCACTACAGACGACCACAGATTTAATACTCTAATTACAGCGTGAGATTGAGTTTACCTTGATTTGTTCCTCTGAAGATACCAGGGCTGCTTCTTGCTGCGGGTTCTCTTGTGTGTATTTTCCCTCCTCCTCTTAATTTGGTAATCTAAAGACTATTCCATTCACGGGCTGTCACCTGCCCGGGTGTTTCTGCCAGCTCCCGAGGATGCAGGGAAGCTGGTTTATGGAGTCCCGGTGGAAACTGGCTGTTGAACATAAAGGCTTTTTTCTCTTAGGGTCGCGTGGGGGGCTCACCTTTTATTTGCGTAATCGCCTACGCATGGTGAGCCCTTTCGCTCTCATTCTTTTAGGTAGCAGTCACTTTTCATAGGAGGCCTGATTCTGAAATGTGATGTGAAAGAAATACACTCTTCTGCCCCGAAAGGCTGGAATCTAGTTGTCTTGCTGCTGTTCGCTATTCCATTGACCGAGCAGCGCGGCTTCCTCTTTCAACACCTCGGTCCTTACCTGGAAAGGAAGTGATTATATCTACCTCTTGATTCCCCTGCCCAGCGGGGTCCACGCTCAGAGAGGAAGGAGGGCAAGGGGCGCCGGGATTCGTGCGCCGCTGTCCGGCAGGCCCAGGGCGGGTGCGGGACGCGCGTCTCGGGCGCACAGGGCCCTCTTGCCGAGCGCTCCCTGCGGAGGGCCTCGGGGGCAGGAGGAGCTGTATTTCTCCTGAGTGTTGGTGTAGTTTTGTCTAAAGGGGCTGGGAGTTCTTCATCCTTTGCTTGGTTCTCTGTGCAGTATGGAGCCCAGTGCCCTGGCCTCCTGTAAGACGTGCGCCAGGGCTTCCGGTCTGCGTGCCCGTGTGCATGGTGTTGTCTCATCCTTACTTTCTACTTACCCTGACTTCTGTGTTTTCTACCTAATTTCTAGAATTCCTAGAAGGCTGTTGAATCCTTTTGGAATGAAGTGGAATCTAAATAAATACACAAACCCCAAGAAATGTGAAGTGGCTTAGACAAAATGCTGAACAGTTTATATCATTTTTTTATTTTAATTTTTTTTTTTGAGGAGGGTTGTTTTCCTTTTAGTATGAGCCAAAATGGTGGTAAAATATACATGACACAAATTGACCATTTTAACTATCTGTTGTTATACAATTCAGTGGCACTAAGTTTGTGCAGCCATCACCACCAGAACTGTTTCATCTTTCCAGACTGACACTCTGTACCCATTAAGCAGTAACTCTCATTTCCCCTCCCCTCTGTCCCTAGCAACTAACATGCTATTTTCTGTCCCTGTGAGTTTGACTACTGTAGGTGCCTCTTATAAGTGGAATCATACAATATTTATCCCTTGTGACAAGCCCAGTGGTTTTTAGTTTCCTTAGTACTGTATTTCAGTGATGTATCCAAAAGTAATTGAATAAGTGGAAGTGGTATCACTGGGTTTTTAGGAAGGTTGACACGTTTTTAGTCATGTTTGCTAGGGAAATATAAGACTAACTTGGAAGGCTCCAGAATGTCTTCATATTTGCCTTAGATTGAAGTCTGTGAAAAGAATAGTTACCTGTGAAAAGAATAGGAGACAGACAGTAGAGTATTATTACTTCAGGATAATGCATTGTGCCTGTTCAATGCATTTATTCCTCAAGTTCTATAAATTTTTTTTATTATAAATATGTCTGAAATTTATCCCTTGCTCTCCATCCATTTTCTCATTGCAGATACAGGACTTTGCCTCTAACTGGTTTTCCTGGCTTTTGTCTCTTCCAAACCAGTCCATGCTTTGCTTTCCTTCCAGAATGAACTTTCTAGATGTGAATCTATCATTCTGTTTTGCATCATTTTGTATTTTCCTCATTGCCTACAGGAGAGCAGTAAACTAACTTCCTATAAGAGATCTTGCCCCTCTTTCATTCTAATCTCTGAGATACTCCCTAGTAAAACTGCCCGCAGGCTACATGCAGTTCCTGGAAAACACTAATTCTCAAATCTCCAATTTCTGTCCAGATCTACCAGGGTAGAGTTGGCACCTTTCTCCTCTGTGGTCCCATCGCACATCTTAATGATGCTGAGAGCTCTGGATTAAAAGTTGTATCATTATATTATGTATTACTAAGAAAAAAAAAGATACTGATGATTAAAAGATGACACCTCTCTTTCTTATCACTTAAATTTTTATTTTAGATAAACTCAGAGAGTTCTTTTAGGCCCATTTAGACATAAAAGTGGCAGACAATTGTGAGGCACCATCGGGTTCAGAGATATTAAATCCCAAAAGGAGAATGTTAATATGTGAATAAATGTGCATCTCAGAACTGATGAAATGCAGTATATCTCTTAGGTAAGTGTGATTATTTGTTTATTATTAGCTACTACTACATTCCTACAAGCTCTTCAAGTGTCAGGAAATGTGACTTTTTTCCTCTTCAATTCTTAAAGCCTTTATATTTTGAAAGTACATAACTAGTGTTCAATGAATGTTGCAAAGGGTCTTTATGTTCCTATGGGGTTGGTTTGACTTGGCTATTTCATATATTATGCATAGTTTCTAGAAAGAAAAACATCTAAACAGCTATAGGCTGCCAAAATTGTGTTCCACCTAGCCTGATAAAATCATAAAATTAGTCCCTGTGCTAACAGTGTATGTTTACTCTAGAATAGGAATTAGAATCGTAGAATAATAGAGTTGGAAAGAATCTTAGAAATCACTTAATCCAGCCTATACATTTTTTATACCTACCACTTTTATTCATAAAGACCATGTATACCTGCTAATCAGAGCTTCTGATTAGTGACTGTGGATCAACGAGAAGTAATTATAGCCAAAAGCAGGAAAAATTGACATAAATTTTTTTAAATTACATAAAGTGGAATGGATTCTTTTGTGTATATATCTGAGCACATGTGTAGATGTACACATAGGTACACATATATAAATATGCATATGTTTATGCATACATGTACATAAATAAATGTAGGCCTGTACATATCTATAACTTTATGGATTTATGTAACCATCATGACAATCACAGTCTATACATTTGACAGTGTGAGGAGACTGAGGCTGGGTGACTTTGAAATCCTGGTCTCTTCATCCTTAGCTTAGTATTTTATTTTCTCCATTATTCCACATCAGCTTCCTTCCCTACAAATATTCTGTCATCCATTCAAGCTGGCCTATTCATCATCGCCTATCATTCTATGTACCCATCCTCTCCTGGCACCTTTGTTTAGGGAAAATCTTCTGCCTAAAATACCCTCCACTGTCAGAAAAAAAGCAAAGACTTAGGTCTAAGTACTAACCTTTCTTCAAGAAATCAAGTTATGCTTCCATGAAGATTACCCTTGATAATTACTCCCTTTTCCAAACTTTTTATAACATGTACTGTGTATGAGCTTGCATTACAATATATCTTTTAACGTATTTATATTCTTCTTCCTATGTATTGCAAATGGAAATTTGATCTTTTACCTCTTGTCCCTTCAATTTCATTTTGATTTATTGAAAATGTATACAGTTGAACATTTCCTTTTCTTTTGGGGCTTCTCCAGGTATTGCCCTCCGTCCTCTAACTGTGGCGATGTTCTCTCTTCTTCCTCCTATTGTGTCGTTTTAGAGGCTCAATTAGGTGGCTCTTGTTTTGAACTATCTATGGTTGCTGTGGTTTAAAAAAAAAAATCAACAGCTGAAGCATCGTAGCGTTTTGGGCTGGCTCAGTGTTGGAACACTCCTTCCTGTGTTTTGTGAATTCCCTGTCTAATGCTTCTGCCCCCTCCTTCCACTATAAAAGCTAAAAATGTCAGGTCCTAGTTTTCCCATCCTTCTTTGCTGGGACCCCACCTTTGAATCAGGAGGTAATGGTTCAAAGAAGAAAAGGTCGGACGGAGTTTGTGGTGGTGGGCAGCGAGAGTGACATCCATTTCCCAAGGGTGGTGTTCAGTAGTGGCGGAGGCAGCCCTGCAAGCTGGGGTGTTCTGTGTTTAGCCTTCACAAGAAGGCTTCTGTGGCATGATTTTAACTGTGGGCCCGGAGGCCTGTCTTTTCACCCTTCGCAGCAGCTACTCAGTGCATTTCTTTTCTACTTAACACCAGCGAAGACTGGCTTCTTTTGTAAACAACTAAGAATTTTGCCTGGTATGGTCCTAGAGCGCCTGGACTCAGAGGCCTGCAATGGTTTGACTCGGACTCAGGCTGTCTAACCTTGGGCGAATCACTTACATACTCAGGTTCTTCATTTCTAAAATGAAAGTATTTTCAAGGTTTTTTCAGCTCTAACATTCGATTATTTTTGCATCTGCTAATTGGCCAGTGGGATGCTAATGTGATCATCATTAGCTGCCAACTCCATCAGCAGGTGCCACCAAAATTGTGCTCACAGTGATTTCAGTATGGTATTGTTCTTTTCTATTTTAGTGATTTCTGGGTTCTTGGGCCTGTGTTTAACCCTATTGGTTGGCTAGTGTTTACTAGTTCTACGCAGTGCTTTCATCTTGACAGGTGTAAAAATGTTCTTTGTTCTCTGTTTAGAGATCTGATTGAGGGGAAAAAATGCTCTAGGCACCAGTAGGTTTCGAGGTTTCTGTGGTAATGTTGATGCAGATGAGAGCTCCTTAGTGGAGAGTTGAGATTTGAAGTCATAAATTGTAAAAATTACATTTTAATGCAGTACCGTGGGCTGAGAGATTCAAGATTTAAAGAGACCAGCCTTTTTATAGTTTTTTTACATATGCACAGTGGAACAACTAACGTGAAATAGTTTTTCAGGAAAGCTAACAACAAATGCATTATAGGCACTATCTCATTGTAGCGTTATAGTCATTAGCTCTGCAACTGTCTTTAAAAAGAAAGAAAAGGGAGAATGCTGAGGAGATTAGGGGTCATCCACATTCAGACCTCGCTTCAAATGGAAAAAACTCTCCTGTGGCTTCCTGACCCCTAATCTATGTCCTTTCTAAGCACCTCATGAAAATAAAATGAGATCAACATTAATTTTGTCTTCCATCTTACCTTAGGAAACTCAGATGATTTCTTTATGGTTTCATTTGTCACACAGCAAAGATTGATAATATATTTTTATTTGGTCATACTGGCCTCAGAAGCAGCAATGGATGCTTGGTTGCTAGTGAGGATGACAGGTATTTTGTTAGGAGAGCTTGTTTCGTTGCATCCTCTAGGGAAAAGGATGGAGTTTAATAATCAGTCATTCAGATTCAAGTTTAACAAACCTTAATTGAATGTCAGATATATTTCATTTATGTGACGATGGCAAGTTTTTTTATTGAGTGCACACATTGTGCCAATTGCTATGGAATTACAATATTTGTTTAACGGTCCTAGAGTAGTCTTCAGATTTAGCTGGGAAAATATTTTAAAACTTAATACACATGGAACAATCCTAAAACAGTTAAAGGCCAAATGGTGCAATGCAAACTATAAAAAATGCAGCAGGAATTTAGATATAAAGATGAATGTGGGCCGGCCGACTTGGGGAGACTATAGAATAGAGCCAGTACTTGAGGGGTGTGCTTGTAATATTTTGAGAGGGCAGTAGGATGGAGGAGGGGCTAACCATTGGGGCAAGTGGTACATCATGATCAAAGGAAGACCGGAAGAGAGGAGCACACGTGGGCGAGAGTGCACTGGGATCGGTGTAACGGGGTCCCGTGCAGAAGTGAGCAATGAGGGTGGGGCAACATTAAAGGGTGAAGAGTTTGTCCTTGGAAGAGACCGTAGAAAGGTACGATAAACATTTGTGTGGGAGCTCATTTAAAAGACTGTTTCGTGTATCATTCTGCATTCCTGTTTTCCTTTGTTCTTCTTCAGACTCCCTCGAGCCCACTTACCAGCAGCTTCAGAAAATGAAGCTGGACAAGAGCCCCTTCGTGGTTGTGTCTGTGGTCGGGCAGGAGCTCCTGACGGCCGGCCATCACGGCGCGTCTGTGGTCGTCCTAGAAGCTGCTCTGAAGATCGGCACCTGCAGCCTCAAGCTGAGAGGTTCCGTGTTCTCGGCCCTGAGCAGCGCTCACTGGTCCCTCGGAAACACCGAGAAGAGCACTGGATACATGCAGCAGGACTTGGACGTCGCCAAGACCTTAGGTACGGCGGTGCTTCTCTCCTTGACTTCAGTGCAGGAAGGAAATAAAGAAAGCTCATTAAGTCAGACACAAATGAGAGTAACATATGCAGCGGTGAGTGAGCGTGTCTCTAGAATATGTTCCTTTTTAGTGCACTCAGGTCTTGAGGGCTTTTCATGTAACAAGATACCAGGGCTCCCAAAAGGTGAAGAGATGTGGATCAACATATGCATTACCTTCCTCAGAGATTCGGGCTCACACACTTCCTATCCCAAACAATAGTATTAGCGGGTGACTCTGCCATCTTAATTTTAATTTTTGCCTACAGTAGGATGTATCGACATTTTGTCGGTGTCAGAGGTGGCAATACAGTGAAGTGGTTAAGAATGTGGACTAGGCAATAATACTGCCAAGTTTAGAATGCCAGCTCCCTCACTCACTAGCTGCGTGGCCTTCTGCGAGTTGCCAACCTCTCTGTGCTGCCGTTTCCTCATTTGTGAAATAAGTATGGGTTCTGATTGTTGTTACAGTGATCACTGAAGGGCTTGCAGGGTTGCAATAAGAGAAGGGACATGGTAAATCTCTCACCGGCATACTTGTAAAGAAGCAGCATATTGTGGTAGGTTTGGAGTCAAATGACTGAATCAATAAGCTGATGTTTATTCAGAACCGAAGGTCATAAGCGGAGCAATGAGGTGATTCAAACAGCAGCTGGTTTGTGTCAGGGTCTTTAACCTCTCATTTCCAAGGCACCTATGTCCCTGACTGCACTTGTCTGTTACAACAATTGCTGTACAGAGATTTAAGATCTCAGACCATAACTTCCCACACATAGTCTTGTAGAAGAAGAAAATACTTCCCTAAAAGAAGGCAAGTGAAATCTTAGCTAGTAAGTCTGTGGCTCTTAAATTAAGATGGCCATTATATTTATAAATAATGCTGTAACTTAGAGAAATTTTATCTTTTTTTTAAAATCCAATTCAGGTGACCAGACAGGAGAATGCCGAGCTCATGGGAATCTGGGCTCTGCATTCTTCTGCAAAGGGCATTACCGGGAGGCCCTCGCGAACCACAGGCATCAGTTGGTGCTCGCCATGAAGCTCAAGGATCGAGAGGTAGGGAGTTCACTGCAGCCCAAAAAAGCCTTTTTTGGAAACATGGAGTCTTTTCTGATGTTCAGATGTTTTAGGTACCTTAAAATATTGCGTTCAGAAGCTGATAGTCATTGCTTCCGCCTTTCATCAACAGACAGGCATTGGATTATTTCCCACACATAGGCCTTGGGATATAGAGATAAATGAGACATGGTCCCTGACTTCAGGACCTAACAGCTTGGTCAGATGCGTTGTTTGTTCTTATATTCTTCAAATGTGCTGTGGAAGAGACATGTATAAAATTAGCAGGAAATGGTAGCGTCCTGATGTATTCATTAAAGAAGCGCGCATCATGTTTTGTTCAAGGTGGAGTGTTATTATTGTAAACCCTTTAGGTTGTTTCTTCAGTGGATTTTAATTCAGGTGGTAGAAGTGTGGTAAGTCTTTATTAGAGAAATGGAAGTAATATTCGCAGAGACTTGCCATCCAGTAGATGCAACATGATCAGAATGTGCCTGCAGGGTGGGGGGGAGAGTGAGGTTTGCAGTGAGACGGAGCCCGAGCTGAGCCCCTGCTCCGGTGCTTCCTGGCTCCGCGACCTTGGAGAAGTCACTAGTCACTCCTCTTTGCTTCTGTTTTCTTATTCAGAAAATGACGTTTGTATTTAACCAGACTCGGTTGTGATAGGATTATAAATAATGTATGTAGAGCAGCTAGCATGGTACCTGGAATTCCCCAATGGAATTCCATAAATGGTAGCTTTCAACATGACATTAATACGGAAGAGAAGGTTAGTAGCAGAGGCAGCAGTAAATTTGTGAATCAGTCTATGTGTCGGGAAATATATTTAGCTACATTTACATTTCAGAACTTCTTTATGGGACATTATAGAGGCCAATTATAGTATTTGAACGATTCAGCATCATTAAGCTTCTGGAACATGGCCAGGCACCAGGGAGGGACTGGGGAAGGGAAAAGCCCGTGCCCCCGTGGCGTGCCGGCGGCCCCCTTCGGGAGGCTGGACTTGCGCAAAGTCTGTCTCTCCATGGGAGTCAGAAAAAAGCCTTTGAAAGTTACCAAAATACACCTTAAAAGGGCAAAGGACTTCTGGTGGTTTTGTTCTTAAGAGAGTTGCCTAAACACTTTTCTCTTTGCCTATTTACTCTTAGTTTATAAACAGTTCTTATAAGAGACGGTGCCTAGAGGCAGGCACCTAGAGGCGGATACACTGATGGCATTAAGAAATGAGAACCAGGTTTAAGAACTGGGAGAGCATAGTTGTCTAAATAGGGCCATTTAGTGAAGGGACAGAGAATTATATAGGCCAAGAGCTATGCTTGTTCTCTGTTTTCCTAACCTTCAGGATGTATAGATTAGTCCAATTACTGGGTAGGATAGAAAGACTTTTAATTAGGGCACAGGATTGTCAGGTATTGAAAGGTAGAAGTGAAGATTTTCTGTCTCTCCTCTTTAATAGTGTACTTTTCTATAACCTGTGTTATCTAGGTTTTATACACCTTATCATATCATCATAATCATTATTAAGAAATCACTGAATTATGGGGATAGAAGGAACCTTGTCCCAGGTCCCTCCCCAAACCTTCCCCTCCTGAGTTACCACCATTTTTTCCGCTCACCCACTTTCACTGGCCTCCTCCCCAAGCCTGGAGAATCCTCCTTATGTGGACGTGAGAGACCCCAAGAATGACTTTTTTAAACGTGTTTCCTCTGGGGATAGATAGAGAAATTCCAGCTACCGTAATTAATGGTCTGTGGCCTGTTCCTTTCTAAGTTGAAAATCCCATTCATTTTCTCCTCAAAGAGTCTGATGATCAAAACTTTAATAATTGTAACCGCCCTGTTCTGGTTGTTCCCCTTTCAGTCAGGCCCACTGTGGCGGCTGGTTAGCCGTAACTTGTCCACAGCCGAAACCTCACCCTGGGACGTGCTACTGTCTGGCTCCCGCTCTGTGTTGCCGAAGCGTATTTGACTGATTTCTAGGCTGACCTACGGCATTTCTCGTCTTTCTCGCGGTGTGTCTTTTCTGTTGTGTTTGCCTCTGGAATTACAGAGTACCATTCATTTTCTTGAGAAATTTGATGTTATTACCATTTCTCTTAATTTTTAAGGTTGTATTTGAGTGCTGCTTCTTGCCTGCCTGCCCGTAACTGGGAATTTTTATTCCCACGTCCTGAAACCAGCTACCAGTCGTAAGACTGGAGTTTCAGAACTTAAAGGGATATGCAAAGGGTTTAAAGGGAACTATTGCCACAATGTGTACTTGATTTAGGTTCGCTGTTTTAGTTGACTAATCTCCTGGGATTTCATTTGGTTTAGGGGGATGTCTGCTTACAAAGTGCCTAATGTATGCAGAGCGCTGGCCTCGGGATCCAGACAGCGGTTGTGGGGTCACTTCCCTTGAGAGGCTCACGTGCTATTTGAGACAGAGCTTTCACACAACAAAAATATTAAAACAATGCCTGAGCAATAAGTGATGAATGTTCTCTTAATTGCTATCAAGATTCTGGAATTCCAGACGAGGCAGACATTGGTATAGACCGGAGGAAGCTTCATGAAACAGGTGGAACTCAACTTGGCCCCTGAGGGAGGTGCAGAGATTAGCGTATGGGGTTCTGAAATCATGTTTGCTGAGTGATAAGACAGGTCATGCCTTTAGCAAACCATCCTGTTCAGTACAGTTACAGATTCTTTAAAGGTAACATTTATCAATTTCACCCAATTACATAAGAAATATGAAAATAACCAACTGTGAGTCTACTGTCCTGTTAATATTTTGGGTATAATCTTTTGGTCATATATGCAATTATCATGCTTCATATCCAAACAAAAATTGAAATCCTATTTTAATACTGTTTTATAATTTTTTTTCAATATTTTTGCACATAATTTTAAAACATTTCTGCTTTTTATTAAATATTCTGAAAGTCTATGGCCTTATCATAATTTATTTCTTCTATACCCCTACTATGACATATTCAGTCTGTTTCAAAATCTTTGCTACTATAAAATCTGGAAAGTCATCTTTCTCAATAAATCTTTGAACCCATCTTTCATCATTTCCTTTGGTTAAACTATTAGAAGTAGGTTTGCTTGGAAAAAACACATTACAAATTTTGATGCTTCTTGTTAAATTACTCATGGAAACGCTCTACTGTTTTCAGTCCTACCAGCAAAGTATCAGAGGTTTCATTTCTGTGCACCGGCCAACATTGGGCATTACTATTAAAATTAAAAGGTCAATTTGATAAAGAAAAGAAAACAATGCTGGCTTATTGTTTTACTTTGCATTTCTTTGATCACTATTGAGGTGGACAATTTTTAGAAACTTCTTTTATAAAGAGCTTTAATACTCAACCTACTTTTTCCTATTGTAATATTGGTTATTTTATATTGATTTGATACTAAGCATTGCTGTATCATCCCACTGAGCTCTTGGGCAATTTGTGTTCTAATCCACAATTGTAATTATTGTTGCTCTATTATACATTTTACATCTACAATTCTTCTTAAGAATATCTAGGATATTATTGTCTCCACTGCCCCCCAACACCCATCCCTTCACCGTACCCCCGAATGTCAAATTTTGGAGACTCTTCATTGGGATTTTTATTGGAATTGTATTGAATTTACATGTTCATTATGGATAAATCAGTCTTTTCAATAGTCAGTCTTTTTCATTCAGGAGCCTGAGCTATTCCTGTATTTTTCCTCTCTGCCCTTTACTGATTTACACTTTTGGGGAGATTTTCTTGCTAGGTATTAAATGTATCTCATTGAAATAGGATATTTTTTCCACTGTGTGTATTTTTTTAAAACGAGTTTTTGATGGCAAATGGGAAAGGTATTTATTTTGCATGTTTTGTAATTGGTCATGTGAAAATTCTCTCATTATAGCTCATAATATTTTTGTTGATTGTCTTGGATTTTCTCATAATGCAAATAGTAATAATTTGGTGTATTTCTTTCCTTATGTTATATCCCTCCTTTTTTTCTCTTAATTATATACTGATTACAACTTTGAGAGCTCTCCCAAAAAGCAATCACTCTCTCTTCTGAGTATAAAAAGTTCAGAGAATGTACTTTTTAATGATTTTCCTCTTCTGATATTGCATCTGTGACCTCAAATTGTACCTTGGTTTCCCTTTTGCATTATTTTGATATTGAAATAAAATTTGGATAATTGCCTTTTGAAGCAGAAACTACTGTGAATGCTATGCTGGTGAGGATACTGAACTGCATCTTTTTGTCTCTTACAGCTTTGGCTATAATACATTTTAAGATGTTCCCCCCTCCCCCACCCACAATAGCTAGATAGCTGGCCACTACTTTGTCCACTTACATTAAAAAGAATACGTTTTTCTTTTATATGATTACTTTCAGATATTTCATAGGAAAGGTGATACCTACTCGGCAGGATTTTTCATTCTAACTAACCTTCTACCTGCATTAATGATTTCAAAATTAATTTCAGGTGCCCATAGAGACCTTCCTGTGAGCTAATATTAATTGTTAGAAGAGTGCATAAATTAAATTGCATTAGAGATGTTCTCTGTTCAGGGAATCTGATATGCAAATATGCTGATGACTCTGAAGTTTTTTTTATCAGTCTGATTTCTCTCCTGAGCTTCATATTTCTTCATCCAACTGCCTCCTGGACACCACCTGCAATTCAGCATGCCTGATTTAGCCTTCAGTCTGTGCCTATGTCTGCATTCACCATTTGGCCTATTGCCCAAGCCACCTCACACTCATGTTTGTTTTTTTTACCAGGTTCTCTTCTTTCTATAACAGCAGCCTCTTTTCTGGCTCTTCTCTTCTGCCGTACCATCTTTTCCCTGGACTGTTGCAGAACTTTTTACACTTTTTAACAGACGCCGCCCTACACGCAAAGGAGTGAAGGTGTCTCCTACTTGCTGTGAGCATCGCCTGAGGCTGCTATTATGAGTAGATAATTTCTTTCATGTATAGTGTGGCTGAGAGTAGATATTAGACAACTTGGG